TTCTCAGGGCTCTCCCAGGAGGTACAGGAACTGAGGGAGCGTTTTCTTCCCATACTGTTTGGTGTGCTCTTTCCCTTAGAACAGTTACACAAAACTCTTCCTCATTTGAACTAAATTCTTCGAATTTGAATGTGAGGCTTTTTCCTCTAGTCTATCTTCAGTGGACACAGATGTGCCAGCTGGTCACTGTCCTCCTGGGGGAGCGGTGCTCATGCGTGGAAACCCAGGGGTGATGTGTCAGTGCCTCTGCCTTTCTTCATGGACAAATGCCTTGAGTTCCAACAGTGTTCTCCAGCTCAAAGGCTCTCAATGTGAACTGGTAGCTAAGACCAAAAACACGCTGGAAGGACAATTTTAAATGTCTATATCTCAAAGCACTTTCATGTGTCAAGTGTCACGGCACTCTCCCAAACACCTGGAGAACGGAGAAGAAATGAGGTGCTCTCTTCCGTACACCATGCTGGGACGATGGATGCTTCTAGGAACTGCAAAATCTTCACTGCTGCATTACTCTGGATCAACACAGGACCCACATTTACTTTTTCCACTGGTATCTATATTTATTTCTTCGACATTTTCTATTTATGCCATTCTGTTTTTTCTAAGCCCTACAAATAGTTCTATTTATAAATATATCCCAAGTTTATCAAGCTGAGTTTATATCATTGTTTCTTCTGTGAACTTTTTATTCTCTAAAATGCTTTTTATCAGTCTGTTATGGATGAATTATGTTTCCCCAAAACTCTGTCTTGAATTTGTTGAACCCCCAATGTGACTATATTCAGAGACAGGAATGGTAAAAAGGTAATTAAGGCTAAATGAGGTCGCATGGATAGAACCCTAATCCAACAGGACTTATGTCCTTATAAGAAGAGGAAGAGACACCAAGAATGTGGGTGTACAGAGAAAAGGCCACCTGAGGACACAGCAAGAAGGCAGCTACCCGTAAGCCTAAGGAGAAACCAAACGCAACGACATCTTGATCTCGAACTTCCAGTTTCCAGAGCTATGAGAAATAGATTTCTATTGCTAAGTCACCTGAGCTGTGGTATTCTGTTGGGGCAGCCCTAGCAGACTAACAGAGAGTCCTCATCCACTATATGAACTCCAGGTAGGATTCCATTCCCTTCTCGCAAATTAATGAAAGACAAAGTTTAGCCTGAAGTGAAACACATCATTTGCAAAAATTAGCTGTGTAAGTGTAGATGAAATTAAGAACATGGTGTGGAAAATAACTATGTTTTTTCCAAAGGTTCCATCAAACTCAGCAACCCTCACAGAGGGATAACGTGACACCATACACCTTTTAGTGTGGTTCAGTATAAAGAATATGATGTCACCTATGGAGTATTCTTACCAAAAGTGTTTAATCTAACCTTATTCTTAGCCTTAACTTCCAGTTTACAGGAAATACAAGGGCTATTAGAAGATAAACGATACTATGAGTAAACAAACAAATCCAGAGGGAGGGACAGCCCACAAGGAAACCATGCTGAATCCACAAGGAAGTCAATGTCATTTTCATTTTTAAAAAATTTTAAAAAAGGAAAACTGTTCTAGACTAAAAGACTGAGGAGACATAACATCCAATTGCTGTATGTGAATTAAACTGGATCCTGGTTCAAAAAACACCAAGGTCAAAGGTTCTGATCCCCTTACTGGCCAGCAGCCAAAAATGACGACAACAACAACAACAAAAAGTCTATAAAACACATTCTTGTAACAATTACGGAAATACAAAGATAACCTAGACACCAGATAATATCACTGATAGTTTCTTAGGTGTGATAATGAAGGTGAATGAGCTTACTCTTAGGACATACATGCAAAAATATCTAAGGCTGATGTGCCAAGATGTCTACAACTTACTTTAAAAATAGTACTACAAATACGTGTGTGTAGAGGGAGGGAGAAGAGAAGGAACACACAAATATGGCAAAATGTTAGCTGAATTTAAGGAAGGTACGCTCTTTCAACTTTTCTGTACATTTGAACATATTCATAACAGAAAATTGGGGTGATTACCCAGAAATATCACCTCTGAACTATCTAAATCATGATTTGAAGGGGAGAATCCATGGATAAAGTCGAGTGAACTCCCCAAATTATATGCAAATTCAGATATATAATCATGAATATTATGCACATATATGCATTCTTCCAGGACAAGGGTTCATAATTTCCATCTGATATTCATTCAAAGCAGTCTATAGCCCCCAAAGGGTATATAAACCACCACTCTAGAATGAAAAAAATACAAGACAAATTGGAGAACAGACTTAAAATGATGCTTGTAAAATAGGTACTGCTTATATTTTTAAAGGAAGTAGCCTAAAATGTCATTATAATCCAAAATATCTCAAGATGTGAGGAGGATGTTTTCTCCTGGAAGCTGTTTCAACTCTCCATTACAGGCAGAAAGTTCTCGGGGAAACAGGCAGAGACACAGCCAGCCTCTGGCAGCTCCACACTCATGTCTGCTTGTGGCCCCCTGCCCAGGGCTGTGCAGGTGCTGCCTTCCACATCAAACCCTGACTGCAAGAACTCAGGACACTACATCCAAACATGAGACTGGCACTCTACCTGCCTTCATACTCTTTTTCTATTAATAATTTTCAAACCAAGCAAGAGCTATGAAACAGTGGCAGAGAGGAGAAGAACAGTATTCTTCCAGCTGCAGTTTAAGCTGGACTGACAGAGTGTGCAGTACGCGTCCTTCTCTATGTTAAATCCTCCCAAGGATCCTCATTGCTTCAGTGATCTGCAAACCTTTTTCTACAGGCAGTGGAGCACCTTCCTGGAACTAAATCCCACCTGCTAGTAAAAGCAGAGGAGGACAGAGGCTGTGGTCCAGGAGTCCCTGTCACCTGCCACGTCAGCTCTTTCCTCATTCCCATGGGGCTGCAGAGTCAGGCCCAGGTGTGGCAGTGGAGCCTCAACACCCCCCAGGGCCACGGTCCCGACTCCTCCAGCCCAGCTCTACTCCTTTGAGCCCACAGGCCCCACCTCCTGTTCCACAAGAGCAGCACTAAACCACTCCTTGTGGCATTGCTGATACTTTGGCACTTTGCTCGGCTGCCTAGGACACCGCCCCCACAACTCAGCCTTGGAGTCACAGTCATTTCCTCGGAGGTCAGCACCCTCCCCCCATCAAAGACACTATGGAGTATACTTATGGGTTTGTCTGAATTGGTCCACAAGCACCGCAGAGGCAGGAGCCATGCCTCATGTGTTGCTGGATCCCCAGGGGTCCCATTCCTGTCACAGTCCAGGTGTGTAGTCTGTCTGGGACCCTGGCTGTCACAGCTCATCAGGGGACCACGAGATGAACCTCACAGATGGTTCACAGTTTCATCACTCCAGGTGGGGGAAGAACGTGAAGCCGAGACTGCCACTTACACATTTTTAAGTGCTTTCACATCTGTTCCTCATTTGATGATTACAAAAGCCCTGGGAATTAGGCAGGAAATAACTCACACCCCTTGTCACTGAGGAGGAAACTGATACAGGAGAGGTCGATGCAGTGTGCAAGGTCAGTTAATGGGCTATGGTACACTTCTCTTTGAGGAGACTCTAGGGGTATAAAGGGGTTTTATTTCTATAGTGAAATAAAATTTTATAATAAATAAATCTATGTGCTTCACTAAATACACACAAATGCTAATGGATAATTAGAAGCCTTTGGGGAGAGCGAGGAAAGAAACAGTTAAAAATTATCTTTTCATAAATCTCATAATTTTGAGAAGAGAAAACATTTTTGCCTTTTTTACTTGAAAAAATAAACACATGAAATATATAGTGACTAGAGGAAAGCGATTCAGTAAAAAAAGTGGCTTCCATATTATACTGCTTGTTTTTACCAATATTAAACTTAAATCTCTGCTATGAAACGTTCTGGCATTTTATGGATTCTGCTATACTTGGAAAACACAAGTTTTATATTGACAAAAGTTTTAACCAGTCAACCCTTATATTTTAAAAATGAATTATCAATATATAATTTATTAGGTTATTTTATATTATTTTATCATAAAACTCAAATAGGCACATTGAAGAAAATTCAGAAATTAAATTTTAAAAAATGATGCAGAGGCTCATTGCCATAAAATAACCACTTGTGGCATTTTGATTCAATTCCTTCCAGTTCTTTTCACTATGTGGATAGGTTTCTTTTGGTTGTTTAACCATGTGGCAACATACCTCACCCACCATTTTGTATCCTGATTTTTTTGCTTAACATAATAGGAGTTCTTCCAGATTATTATATTGTCTTCATAACCACAATGTATAATTTACTAAACTACTATATAATCTTTTAACTGGTTATACCACAGTTTACTTAACCATTCTCCTATTTTTAGGCAAGTAGTCTGTTACCAAATTTATACTATCATATGTAATGCTTTAATGACAACTTTTATTTTCTTCTGTTTTGTTTCTTTAGAGAAGTTCCTAACGTATATTACCAGACCAAAGTGGATGATCATTTATAAGACTTTTGTACTCTGTGCCAAATTGCTTCCCACATTATTACCAGCAATGAATGAGAAAGCTTTTTCTTACCAATAATCAGTAAAACCATCAGTGTCATTTCATTATTTTTCTGCTAAGTGAAAAATATACCCTCATCATGCTAATTTTGCATTTCTTCCCTGACAATATTTTCCACCATATGATTACTAACTGGTTGAACTTCCTTTTTTGTGAATTATTTATTCATATCCATTATTCATTTATCAACTGACTCTGTGGATTTTAAAATAAGTTTATATAAACATTTTACATAATTAAAATGCTAACTCAATATTTACTGTATGGGTGGGAAATATTAATTCTCCAATCTATGGTTCATTTACAATTTTTAAAAAATTTTTCCCTGGACAGTTTTTTCCTCTGTGATTCTTTGAGAGAATTCTGCACCAGCTCCTCCCTCCTGCTCCTTTCTGCCTTCTCAGTTCTCAAGGTTGTAATATTACACACCCATATGCCAGAGGCATTACCTGTTGGTCATCAGGAGTCCATATGCCACATGTGATCTGACTTTCCAAGTTGATCTCAGATGACCAGTGTCTTTGTCCACTGACAGAACCGACCAGGACAAACCCATCTCGATATGAAATAAGTGCTTGAGTCCCATCATGGCTCCACGTGAAATCACTCACCTTTGAGACACACACACAGAAAAGGGGTCAATTTGTAATCTGAGAGGGAAAGCACTTTTATAAAAGCCTTGACATAGTCATTAACTCGGCTTTAAGTTAAGAATGATCCCAGGGATGTCTGACTCCAGGGTTCCTGCTCTTAAAACATTATTATGCTGTCTCCCACTTATGATCAATAAGAGATTCTCCACCGGTGTCTGTTGATCACTCACCAAAACAGTACAACTCTAAGTTTCTGATTATATTCCCTCTCAAATTCCTTCTAACAATATTCCCTCAATCAAAGTGAAGAGAAAAACATCTAACTGGAAAGCATTACTTATAGTTGGGTGTTTGGTTTATCAAATGAACTTATGCGTCTAATCAAATGACCTTTCCTTTTTTCTTTTTTAAAAATTTCAACATTTGTACATATTTGTGGGGCACAATGTGTTATTTCAATACATGCTTATACTTGCCCAATGATTCACTCAGGGTAGATAGCATAGTTTTATACCCATGAGTCCACTTCCCCGCCATCCCCTTGCCTCTGATAACCATTATTCTACCCTCTACTTCTATGAAAATCACTTTTTCTTTTAATCTACTCTGAATTACTTCTATGGACTTTCCAATATTATACTATCCTTGCATACCTAAAGAGTCCAACTTAGAGGTGAAGCACTGTCTTTTATACACACAGCTGAAGTTGATTTGCTAATGTGTTTAGAATTTCTGCATCTGTATTCATGAGTGAAAGAGACCTGTAATTCCATTTCTGTAATGTCTTTGCATTTATCAGGATTATGTTGACCTCTCAGAATGAGCTAGAAAGTAGTCCTTTTTCCATTGCCTAGAAGAAATTTGTATGAACTGTGATGGCTTGTTGCTTGAAAGTTTGGTACAATATGCCTGTAAAACCATATGGCTGTGTATCATTTTATGGGAAGATTTTTAACCACTGCTTCAATTTAATAGTTTTAGCCCGAGTCAAACTTTCATGCTTTTTATTTCTTCTTGAGGCAGTTCTGATCCTTTTTTTTTTTAAAGGAATTTGTACAGTTTACATAAGTTTTCAAGACTGTTGGCAAGTAGTTGATAATATTAGCCTTTTAAAATTAACTTTATTGAGGTATAATTTACATACAATTAAATAAAGTTCCCCCAACAGTCAGTCCCCAACCCTCACCCTTGGTCCTTAGTAAAGAGTGATCTGATTTCTCCCACTAGCTGCTTATTCTAGAATTTTCCATAAATGGAACCACATGGTATGCTCACTTTTGTGTCTGACTGCTCTTACTCAGCATAAAAGTTTTGAGAGACATCTCCATTTTTGTGTGCTTTGGTAGTTCATTCCTTTTTACACATGAACACTATTCCATTGTATGAATATGCCACAATCTGTTTATCTATCTAAATTGCTGGATATTTGGTTGTTTCCAGTGTTTGGTTATTATAAAGTTACTATAAACATTCATGTACAAGACTTTTCGTGACACATGGTTTCATTTTTCTTGAGTAAATACCTAGGAGTGGAATTGATTCCTGGGTCGTATGGTATATGTATGTTTAACTGCCCAAGAAATTTCCACACTGTTCTCCAAAGTGGTTATGCCATTTTATATTCCCACCAGAAGTGTATGAGAGTATTAGTAGATCCATACCTTCACCAATACTTGGTGCTGTCAGTCTTTTCTATTTTAGCTATTATAGTAGGTGTATAGTGGTATGACATTGTTCTTCTAATATGCATTTCTCTAATAACTAATATGTTGAGCATTATTTCATGTGCTTACTAATCACTTTCACATCTTCTTTTGGGACATATCTGTTCAAATTCATTGTCATATATATATATATATATACACACACCAGTTTTTGACCTTTTATTGTATTGTGTATATATATATAGTATAGTATGTAACAGTTGTTGACCTTTTATTGTAAGGTAAATTTTCTGTATAAAATCTAGATACAATCCTTTATCAGATATGTGTATAGCAAATATTTTCTCCCAGTCTGTGGTTTACCTTTTCATTTTCTTAACAGTATCTTTCAAAGAGTACTTTCAAAAGTAGTTTACTTTTAGTAAAGTCCGATATCAATTTTTTTTTTTTTTATGTTTCACGCTTTCTGCATCCAATCCGAGGAATCTTTGCCTAACCTCAGACTGCAAAGACTTCCAGAAGTTTAGCTTTTACATTTGTGTCTTTAATTTCATTCAGAGTTAATTTTTTTGTGCAGGGTGTGAAGTAAGAATCAAAGTTCACTATTTAAAAATATGGATATTCATTTATTTCAGAACCACTTGTGGAAAAGACTATCCTTTCCCTCATTGAATTACCAAGCCTCCTCTAATTACCTCTGACACCTTGTAACTTCCACTTTATCTACAGGTATGCCCAACTTCTCATTCACAAAATTATTTGTTTAGTTTTCTCTTTTTTTCTCTTGATCAGTCTTGCCAGCAGTTTGTCTATTTTGTTAATCTGTTTCCAAGGAACAAATTCTTGGACTTGTTCATCTCTATTTCACCATTTCTTCCCTACTGCATTAATTTCTACTTTTATTTTTATTATCTCTTCTTTCATTGGGTTTACTATTGTTGGTTTGGTAACTTTTTAAGATACTTATCTGAACAATAATCACAGTTTTATTCTTGTCTAAATAATTAAGGATATACATTTCTCTCATATTACCACTTAAATCATCTCTCATAAATTTTGGTATGTAATATTTTCATTATCATTCAGATCTAGAACTTATAAGAGTCCATTAAACTTACTCTTGAACCCATTAGCTATTTAACAATACATTTAAAAATTTCCAAATACACAGGGACTTCTTAAATTTATCTTCTTGTTAAACCTTATCTAACCTGGTTGCATTGTGTTCTGAGATTATGGTCTATAATCTTGATACCAACCATCTGTTGAGGTTTTTATTTATGCCCTAAAACAGGCGTTGGCAAACAATGGCCTATGTGCCAAATATGGCCTATTACCTATTTTTGCATAGCCCCATAAACTCAGAATGGTTTTAAATGGCTGAGAAAAAAAATCAATAGAAAAATATGTTGTTATTCATGTAATTATATGAAATTCAGATTTTACTATCCATAAATAAAGTTTTAAATCTCATCAATAAAAATTTTTTTGGAAATTTGTTTTCTCTTGTTATAACACTTCCATAATATTCTCAATTTTGGCTCCTCATCCACAAAACCTAAAATACTTACTATCTGTACCTTCACAGAAAGGGCTTGCAGAACCTTCCCCTAGAACATGATCAATTTTTATAAGCACTGTATCTGTGTTTGAGAAAAATGTATGTTCTCTAATTAAGTGGATTCAGAATCTATGAACGCCCATTAGGTCAAGCTTACTAATTATATTGCTCAGATCTATATCTTTGCTGATTGTTGGTGAAACCTCCAAGCATGTCAATGGATTTATTGATTTTCCTATCAGTTTTTTTCATATATTTTAATGCTTTATTTTTTTTTATTTTTTCCTTTTTTGTCTTTTTCCGTGTCCGGCAACGGATCGCAACCCTCAGTGTCGCCCCTGTACCAGACCGGGACCAGCTACAGGATCGCAACCCTCGGCGTTGCCCCCGCGCCTCGCTCAGCCAGTGAGCGGGAACCGGTCTGTCTGTGGGATCCGAACCCTCGGCGGGAGCGCCGCCGCGCTTCCCAAGCGGCGCACTATAGCAGTGCGCCACCAGGCCGGCCCTTTAATGCTATTATTACTAAGTACATACATATTAAAAACATCTTCTTGGTAAACTATAGCTTCTAGAATTATGTAATAACTCTCTATTAAATCAAATAATACTTTCTGTCTTTAGCTCTTTTTTATCTAATATTACTATAGCTACACCAGCTTTATTTTTTCCCTTGGTATTTGGCAGATGTTTATTTTTCATCCTTTTACTTTAAACTTGTATATGTCTAGTTTTAGGTGTTGCTCTTAACAGCGTATATCTGGGTTTATAAAAATATAAACCATGAAGCTTTATCTTCTGACTGGTGAATTTAGCCCATTTATATTTATTCTAATTAGTGTTATATTTGGTCCTATTTCTACCGTCTTAATTTACTTTTTCAGTTTGTGCTTTTTATTTATTTTTAACCTTTTCTAATAAAAATATTTTTGATATCTATATTCTTCACTGTTGCTTGTACTTGGAAATGTTCAACTTTCTTTAAAATATGTGACATTACCAGATATATCACATTTCAGGTAATAATAAACAAACAAACACCAAAAGGACACGAACTTTTGGCTGTTTACCTAACAGGGGTTATGGGTTCATGCTCAGTGATCAGCAGTGTCTCATATGACAATGGCATGGATATATGAGATAGCTCTTAAATAGCTGGTCTGGGGTTGCTGAAAAAAGTCTCCTCAGATCAACTCAGAACCTTGGCTTCACTGACATTATGTTCCAATCAATTACACTCCCTAGTTTTTCTTAAAAACTTAGCATTTTTCAGAGACAACTGATTAAATTCTGCAATGAAATATAAAAGTTATTTCATTTGGCAAAGGTAATGCTATATATTTATATGCATCTTAACTACATATTTTGGAAAAGATTTGTACTAAAGGAAAAACATCTTCTTAACAGAGAGCTAAACCATCGAGCCAGTAAAAGAAGCTTCTCAGAGACACCAGCAATCTTATATCACAAAAAATAGGTAATATAGGACATTTACATGAACTGATTGGTTTATTAGGTCAGCACAGAGTGATAAGAATACATTAAAACTGGAAAACCAACAATAGGAGAAACTAAGTACTGAATGCTGTTTAAAAAACAAAAAAGACGAAACTCCCCTTCTTCTGGTTGTTTCTCAGTTGCAGAGGGTTGTAATGCTCTTGCTTTACTAAAGAGAGTTCTAAGACGTGGATTAAATGAAGCTGAGCAGCAGCCTGACCATGCCATTGTCCGAGGCAGTTTTTCCTCACACTGGCTCAGATTGTGTGTGCCTGGCACAGCCGTCCTCGGTGACTAATATTATAAAATAATGCATGTACTGTTCCATGCTCATTTTTGAAATAAAGAACTCATAATCATTTCCTGAAAAACAAATTGTTAAAGCATCTCTTAGCTTTTGCCAAATGTTTGATTACCTTGTGACAATGAAAGGCATGATATATAACAAGGATCACCTGTCATTTCATCTGACAAGTAATATTTTTCTCTGAGCTGGTGTCAAGGGTGCTCCTCCTCCAAGCCACAGGAGGTTCCTTCCACCGGACACTGTTTCAGGTGCACAGAACCACCAACCCTTGACCTGTGACTCATCGTCACCAGTGTGTGACATCCTTTTTACTCAGATAAGATCTGACTCACCACAATTAAAAGCAACCAAACTTCCCCAAACTGCCAGCATTCAATGATGACAGCCATTCAATGGATTCTAAGGTTTGAAGAATCAGAGTTCCAAAAAGCCAAATTTTATAAAAACCTGAAAAAGATCTCAAGATACAGTGATTAAGTGAACCCTACTGGGCAAGGGCATTTGAGAGATTCTGGGTGCTTCCAGATGTTCTGTGGTCCATGTAAGTTCATTTCTCTCTGGGCCTGAATTCATCTTTCCTTTCTTGTTTCTAACAAGAAACAAGAATTTTCAGAGCTTGTCTGCTCCAAATTCTCAATGGAAAGAAATGTGGAGGGATGTGATGGATGGGGGTGACCACAAAGCTGCTATCTGGAGATGACAGACAGGTTGCAGCCAGGAGAAAACCATGTGATGGTGACACTCCTTGGCTGGTGGGCTGGCCTCTCTAATGGCAAATAAAAGCCCGACTTCTTCTGGATACATTATTAATACATGTATTTCTGCCAAAAGAAAATATAGTTTCTGGTCTGATAACAAGACAGAGTGGTGGAGAATTTTGGACTCAAACAAACCTGGTTTCAGTTCCAGTTTTACCACCCATAACTTCCTCAGGCAAGTTACTGAACCTCCCTGACCTGGATTTTCTCTTCTATTAACCAAGAATAATAATATTTTCGGAATAGAATTCCTGTGGAGATTGAGAGAAACAACCTAATAATGAAAAAGCCAAACATTAGTTGGCATTTATCCTAGCTCCTCTTCCCTTTCTTTCTGAGTAGTGATTTAAAGTCCTCTCATAATCCTAAATCTGAAGATGCATCTCACCCCATCACTGGGCCTTTCTAGGAAAAAGGGTCTTAGGCTTTGGTTAATGGGAGACTTACAGCACTTTATAGACCCTTATGGCAACTGCAGAGAAGTCTCCACTTGGTGATGACACACAGCTGCTGCTTCAGGGCAGGCTGGCACTGTGCTATATGGCTATGAGGTCGCAGTACCTCAAAATACTACAAGCACTCTAATAATATGCAGTGACAACTGCTATGTGCAGACAGTGTTATATATACTTTTACATACAGTCTTATTTAATCTTTACAGTGATCCTCTGAAGTAGGTGACATTATAGTCCCTGTATTACAGATAAGGGAACTGAGACACAGAGAAGTATCTACCACTCAGAAGTTACGGAGTGAGATTTTTTGGCCTACATTGTCTAACTCCAGAGCTCATGCTCTTGACCACAACATCCACCCTCTGGGAGACATGAACATCCCATGGTCACAGAGATTCCCACATTTGCGGGTCTACTTCCAAAAGGACAGTTAGTGGTTCTAGGGCAAACTTTCCCACTTCCTTTTCTTGCTCCAAGGAGGCATGCGGAAAACCGGTAAGGCCTTTTCAGAGTAAGTCAGTATTACTACACTTACTCTACCAAATAAATAAATGAATGAATGAATAAATAAATAAATACATAAATAAAGTTCTGTTTTCACACAGAGGTAGGTTGTCTTGTGTGACGACATCTTACAAAGATCCTCAGCCTGCTAACAGTCACTGCCAACAGAATCTTCATTTATTGCTATTTCATGTCACTTGACTGGTCTGTATCTTTCAAACTTGGGAAGCTCACAGCTTATTTAAGTAACAGGTCGGGGAGGGGAGGGTGAGAATCCAGTCCCTTAGAAATGTACAGAAAAGCAGTCCCATGGAAATCATTCTGGGAAAGTTAAAAATAGTCCAAGAAACCCCTCAACAATAAATGTCCCCTGAGGATTTGGGTTCTCAAGTCATAGGTTTGTCAAAGTCCCAGGATGGAAACTGCCTGTTCCAACATGAGTCCTTAAACACATGAGAAGAGGAGCACTACGTAGCCCATCCTCATGTGCCAGGGGGAGCTGTACCATAAGCAGAACAATCTATGGAGCAGTTCTAGAAATAGCACAGCTCAGCAGGGTGTCCTTGAAGCAGTTGTTTTCCTCAGAGCAGAGACAAACTGTATCAGAAAGGAAGAGCTAAGAGATGACAACAGGTGGCCACGCTAATCAAGACCTGACAGAAGACAGTGTGAGATTCTGCTTGGTGTGAGGTTGTGAGACACCATCACATGGAGCTCTCTGTGACAGAAGTGTGAAGATCACAGCACAGGGAAAGTGAAGATCACAGCACAGAGAAAATACCTTTCAAAAGGGAGCAAAAAGGTGACATGCCAAAAGCACTTCAGAGGATCCAAATTTAACACGTAATCACAACACTCAATGGTAGAAAACGACTTCACAGATGTAATTCAGGTTTAAAACTTGGAGAGTTCTCACAACAGCAGCATGGATGAAGAGAAAAAAGTATGATCTTGCACTCTCTTTTTATCTAGTGACATATCTAAGAGGAATGAAAAGCAGGGTTCTAATTTTATTTATTTCTGCTGCAGATAGTTCTGGAAAGAGTTTTCAGTACCGTGCAATGCTAGCACCTTTGCTCTAGAACACTTGGTCTGGCATTCTTTACAACAGTCTTTCACTTGAAGAGGTTTGCCACCACTCACCTGAGCCCCTCGGTCGTTGACCAGTTCCACAGACCACCTGCCTTCGTACTGAATCCACACAAATATGCCTCCATCTGCATCACACGTGGCCAGTTTCTGGTATGGCTCATTCCACCTCACCAGCACAACCTAGAAAACCACCAAGAAAATATTTACCACAGGAAATAAATCAGTGGGCCACGATTATTTCTATGAAGTGATCAGACTCTAGAACTAAATAGAATGCAGTTGGTCAAAGGAAAAGATTGGGAAGAGGACAGAGGGAGAATGGGGGATTATGGAAGGGACTGGGCGGAGCCCACACACGGCAGTCTGATGTGGAACTAGACCCACTTGTGATGGCTTCTTGACAGACACCTGAACAAACAAAATACAGACTGTGCCCACTGCTATGACAACAATGAGAGGACCCAGACCCACCTTGTTTTAGGCCATTTCTGTTGCTTATAACGAAATACCTGGAACTGGGTACTTTGTAAGAAAATGACATTTATTGCTCACATTTTCTGAGACTGGGAAGTCCAAAGTCCATCTGGTGGTGGTGACAGTGACCCAGGGGTCTCACATTGCAAAATGGTGGAAGCAGAGAGAGAGAGAAAGACAGACTGTCCTCTTTCTTCTTTTAAAGCCCTCAGAACAATGCCCTGGCCACCATTTTTAATCCATTCACTACTGCATGGTCCTACAATCTAATCACCTCTTCAAGGCTCTACCTTTCGACTACCATAATAGGGTTTCCCACCCACTTAACAGTCACAGTGGAGGATAAGTTTCTAATACATAAAACTTGGGGGACACAATTCAAGCTTCAGTGAGTTTTGGGACATAATTCAGTCCACTGCACATCTGTACCCAGCACCTGCCTTTCACAGGGGTGTAGTGTCCCTCATCAGCAGGTCCTGAGTGTGGAAAACTATTTTCACAAAATTCATTATGTATTTAATCGGGGACTTATTTATTTAGTGTAGAAAGAAGACAGGGTGAATCTTACTTAATTTCATTTCCCTACCAGAGTGAAATTTTCTATATCTTCTCTGAACTAAGATCTAAGCTGTTTGGGATTTTTCACAGAGGAAATATAAAGAAATTATAAGAATCAAAATTTTTTAGTATAAGAACTTAATTTTTAAATTTGAAAAATTCTGAATCTAGATAAATCACTTTCATCTTTCTTAACTATCAATTCCTTATCTAAAAAGGTAGAAACTGTAGTAGGTGGTTAGTGAGATGAGGTAAATGCCTAAAGAGTCTGAGGGCAGCCCTCACAAATCCCAGTAAAACCTGTAAGGGAATGAGGGTTATGTAATGGTCCCAGGAGACCATGAGCCACAAAACCAATACTTCGAGGTTCAGAGGTTCACCATGATGAATGTTCCCTGAGGCTGTTCCCAACTGGCGTATCCGGGGGATCATGAATTAATTCAGCTAGACATTCAGCACATATTTATACATTCATGCTCTGTAACTAATACTAAGTTGGAAGATATGAAACACCCCTGCTGCCCTCAGGTATATTAAAAATCCAGCTGAGAAGTGAGAACATTCACAGACACATGAATATATACTGACCTATGTCAACAAAATAAGGACTACTATCAATCAGCAAGAGCGTTTCTACTATTCATAAAGAAAAATTTGAACCCCTGTCTACTCCCACCACTTTGTGCCTTAATAAACTAACTATAACCATTGTGAACATGTAACACCGGTGTAAATAGTTTCCAAATTCTAAAGTATATTGTAAGATAGAAAGTGAGGCTGAGGACTGATAGTCAATGACTTGCAGTGCCCAGGTCCCTCCTCACACCCATCCGTTCAAAGTACATTTCCTGCTTTTAGACCAACGCATAACTCCCATTACTTCTCAAGGTTATGCAGTACATACACCTGATTTCAGGTCTTTAAATTTGCTTCCAGGCCACCAGAGAGGTAGGAGAGACCCAGCAATCACTAATTAAATGTAACCCACTTAAAGGCTCCCCACGCTAAAGTCAATGGACACAGATGTGGACCCCGAGAACTCCCAGGCAGCCCCCTCTTAGCTGCACCCCTCTGTTGAGACCCCTTGCTTGCAATGCTTAATCCACTATAACTATTAGCTTGTGCACACTGTCCCAAACAGATCTGTTCTGAGTGAGGAAAGGGACAAAGCAGTGCTCATCTTTGAATACTGACACTTGGCAATTTTGAACATACTGTGCCATACAATAATACATAATTAGAAGCTATGACCCTTGCTAAATTAAATCTTTGAACTATGAAAGGTATTGAAAACTATTTCAAGAAGGTTATTTTCAACTCCCAAAGGCATTTTTTTTTTTTCGTGTCCGGCAACGGATCGCAACCCTCAGTGTCGCCCCTGTACCGGACCGGACCGGCAATGGGATCGCAACCCTTGGTGTTGCCCCCGCACCTCGCTCAGCCAGTGAGCGGGAACCGGTCTGTATGTGGGATCCGAACCCTCGGCGGGAGCGCCGCCGCACTCCCAAGCGACGCACTGTAGCAGTGCGCCACCGGGCCGGCCCCCAAAGGCATTTTAACAACAGCAAATATTGTCTGCCTGCCTATGATAAACTGGACTGGTAGGTGCTGAGGAAAGAGATAAGGCATCTTTGTCCCCATGTAGCTCAGTTTTACTAAACAGACATAATACAGTGCTGTGTGCACAGTTATGCAGTAAATGGAAATATTGTGAACATACACAGGTGGATAGGAAAGCAACAATTTCAGATTCATTTTTTTAAATCTAGTTTTTATTTATTTATTTTTGTTGATTTGTTTTTTTGTCCTTTTTTTTTTTGAGACCTGCCGCACCTCGCTCAGCCAGTGAGCGCACCGGCGGCCATCCCTATATAGGATCCGAACCTGCAGCGGGAGCGCTGCACTCTCCCGAGTGCGCCACGGGTTTGGCCCTAAATCTAGTTTTTAAAATTCTCTATTTAAATTACTGATTTATTACTTTTTAATAAGTCAAACCAAGAACAACAAAAGTTTTCAAATAACATTGAATGTGTCATAAAATTTAGAATTTCCAAATAGTCCATAAAAGCTAATTTCACAGACTTCTTTCAGATCCAATAGTTTGGCCCAAGCACTACAATCCACAAACATGCATTTGGACAAGTTGGTCCCTAAAAACACACACGAATCAGTTAAGCCTAAAATTATGAATGTGCTTCAGAATGGCTACCAGAGAACAGAACATGACAAATAAGAACATGATATTCATGACATCAGTTTTTAAATTATTTCCACTTAACTCTAGCCTCTTGGTAAATACTTGATGACAAAGCGTCATATTTCAGAGGATAGAGATAAGTTGCATTGTCTATATTTTTGCCTTTAACATCCATTGCCATGTATGACGGCATTGTTAACATCAACAAAACCCCTCTTCTTCAAGAAAACAGCCTGTACAGTCACAACATGACACAAACACAAAAGAGCAGAGGCAAAAAATATTTTTAAATTATTTCTAATGTTAAATTAAAGATATCTTGGTCTCATGACAACACAGTTGCCATTGTTGGATAAACGGTATGTTCACAGACACAATTTCATCTTTTATGATTCTTAATCAGTTGAGATGCAGCAGTAAATGGAAATATGGTCTCCATTCACACACTTCTTTGCTGTGATTTCTAACTGGTATAACTGAATAGGTGGGTAATGAAATTAGAGACTGAAATCTTGCCAATGATTCTTGATTTAAAAATAAAAGTCAGACTGCTCATGTTGTTTCCCTAGACTAGTATCCTCATTTCCTCTCTTGTCCACAATTCACAGCTGCCCGCCTTATCTCCCCGCAGCTTATTTCCTGTTCTCCAAGTCCTTCCAGACTATTTGGCAGTGTTAGGACATACCAGAGTGCTGAGGAATTACCAACCAGGAGGGCAGCTGGGTTCTCAGTGGCCCGAATTGTTATGAGGCAGGGTGTTGTAGATCTGTCCAGGCATCCTAAGGTAGAGCTTTCCTTCCCTTTTAAAGGAAAATGGGACTCTGATTTGCTCTGGGCATTGAAGAACTTCTGTGTTTAGGGTCTTAGCTTAATATGTGTTTTTCTACTAAAAAGTCAGAGGACCAGCTAAGCTCAGACCTAGGCCTTCGATTATTCAAAAATAGACCAGCCTATAACTCTCTCCATTATAAGACATGTTCTATCATTTTATACTGTTGTTTTTAATCAATAAACATTTATTTCTTAATAAATAAGGGTATCAAACGTAGGAAAATCTACACTAAAATCACAAGGCAAGACTGCAGAGAGCCTACTGGGGCTATCACCTAAGGCCGTATATAAGTCACTCCACTTCCTACACCCACACCTACTCAGTTAGCCCATGTCAAGGACGTGCATCTTCCAAGGCAGAAACCCTCTAAATGATGTTGATAGAAATATTTACATAGGAAGCCACCTTAGAGAACAGCCAGTGTCACCAATATTCAGAAAGATTTGCCTCAACCTAAAAAGAATGTAATTTGAATGAACAATAAATACAAATAGCTCAAATAAGAAATCCCTGTAAGTAATTATCATAACCCAGTTCTTCTTATTCTGTAACTTATGAAGTGAAACATCAACAACTTCATTTATACAAGAAAACCAAAGTGACTGCCAGTTTAATTTTAGTTACATTCAGTCATTTTAACAAAGAACCAGAAGCATCTTGAAACAGAGGCTGGAAGAAATTGAAGAACAATGGTCTCACAGACTGCTGCCCACCAACACAGTGTCACTCTGAAGTCAGGGGCTGAGGAGGGCGGGCTCTGGGGTCTGGCTGCCTGGACCTGGGTCCTGGCCTTGCCACTCACCCAGTAGCTGCACAGCTGTGGGCAAACTGGGGACCGTCTTAGCGTGCCTCTCCGTGTCTGCCAAGGTAGGCTGTACTAGCACATCCTCCATCAAGCTGCTGTGAGAAGTATAGGAGCATAATGAGAAAGGACCACAGAATAGTGCCAGTCACAAAGCAAACATTCAATACATGAGAGCTCTGTATTATTAATCACTGAACTAAAAATTCCAGAAGATAAAGACTAATTTAGCACAGTATTTACATGTATAGTTTCCTCTTCTTTAATAGAAAACTTAGACAGTTTGAAAGTTAATGCCCCTTTCCATACCCATCTCC